AAATAACCTTTCATCAATAATCTTTATATTTTCATTAATGATTATAAAAATTATCCATTAATTAATTTATATTTCCTCTTCCTTCTTATATGCTTAGGGAATAATTGTTAGCAAAGACCTTCTCAGTAACTTTTAGAGAAAATTCTGTTTTGGAAAGTTATGAAAATACATCTAGTCTCTCAGATACTTAACCCAGTTCTGGAGAACACAGTCAAAATAATAAAATGCAGACTATGTTATGAAACAATAAAAAAATGTGATAAACATTAGCGTTTTCCAAGGGTGATTTCTAACATCAGCATTTTGGTGACATGAAGATAGTTAGGTATTGAAGAACCACTTCACGTTATCCTAAGACACAGGTGCAGTCACTCTATGTTCTCACTCATGCCCAGGGCTGCGGTGAAAGTTCATGCGGTACGCCTAAAGATAAGAATGGTAGCCGTGTCATACCTCTGAGACATAATCTTATAGGCATCGGGCAGGTAACATCGGATATTCTCCATCTGAGCTGGGTCAGAGTCACAGATCTTGTCGTCGGTCCTCCCGTAGTTGGCACTTTCGATCATGATGACATCGGTCCCTGGACAGCGGAGCTCGATGGGGTAGCTCTCACAGGAGAGCTCCCTGCGAACCACAGCCATGGGGATCGGGGCGCGGCTGAAAGCTGCGGGGAGAAGACCAGATGTCAGGGCTCCATGCACTGGGTGGCGCGTGAGCAGCTGGCAGTGTGGGGTTGGCTAATACAGGAGGTAAAGCAGTTAGGGTTCACAATTTCAACACACATAGGCTATTACTCCCTTCCTATAATTTTTGTTTCCAAATCTAAAAAAGCAATTATTTCTTGAGAATGTTACCATTTTTTTTTCTCGTAAGTGGCAAAAAGCACTCTGGATTTTGTACTACAATTTTGGCAGGTGTGTGAGATTAAGACTATACAGAAACACACATCGTCTGATTTATAGACAAGGATATTCAGATACATTGCAGGGGGTTCTTTCTTGTTTCTTGTTTCACTCTAAAAAGATCATAACCACAAAATGACACTGCTGTTGACTTTTACTATTTTACTTCAACTTTCAAAGTTTCACTGTTTTAGGTAATAACGTAATCGGTATACCTCATAATTTAGCTGTCAACATAGACGAATGCTTTAAGAAAATAAAGATTTGCATAGAGAAATATTGTATTTCCTTTGAGCTCCCTTGTTACACTTGTCCTCCAATTACAGAAGGAGCCAATTACAATCTGGCAACCTGACTATTAGGGTTTTCTATGCAAAAACGGATGTGGTATGCGGACTCCAATTCTGCTCCTGTACATTTTACTCAGGTAAATTTACTAAAATAGTTCTTACATGTTGTTTGGCACTTCGCATTTTTTTTTTTAATTTAATGACAGGGGAAAATCTTTTCATTTCTGGATAATATTTCCTTCATTTTCATAGCAATTACAATGAGTATATATGTACAAACTATATAGGCATACAATGTATCCATAAATTACAAAGGAATCAATACCTGGAAATGAAAAAAATCTGTCATGTATCATTGCAATAATAAATAATATGTATTTCAAAAATCAAATGTGTTTAAGAAATAATATAATTAAATTATAATTTTATAATAAAATAAAGTATGTCCTATGAACATCTAGAAATATCTCAATGTTTTGGGCTCATAATATTATGAGGAAGTATAAACATACCTATGTACCTTGGAAATAATATTTTGGTAAGAATATCATCATCTGAATATATTTTACAATATATTTCTACAAGCTAAGTTGATGGGTCAAAGAACAAATATATTTAAAATTTGGCAAATATGAACTGATTTCAAAAACAATAAAGATATACATGTCCTCCCAATA